CACTCTTTTTTGATATCTTTTACAGAAAATGAGATATATGTGCTCAAAGTTGACTGTGGGGGGGGGGGCGTTATACCGTAAACATTCTAATAGAACGCCTTGAACTTTAAGCCCATATATCTTGATTCCTATGAAAGATATCAAAAAGTGGTCAACTGATAAAATGTTACTTATGTTATGATACAAACTTTGTATGAAATGAGATATATGGGCTTAAAGTTGACGGTCTGGGGGGGGGGGGGTCATTTCAATCAATTAGAAGATTTTTGAGAAACTAATTTTTTGGAGCAAGAAAAATTGGATTTTTTCAAAATTTATAAAAAATCTACGGTTTTCAATTTTGAAAAAAAAAGGAAAAATTGGTTTCAGCTGAAAAAAAGGGAATTTTTATAAGTTTTTTCTCCAAAAAATAGAGGAAAAAGAGCCGCAAGACCAGAAAAAATAGGCAAAAAACTTCTATATTCATGGCGGGTTGACTAAAAAATAATTGTTTTTTTTTCTTTCTTTTTTTTTGGGACCTCAAAAATTATATTTTTCGGGTAGTTAAAAAAAGAATCCTTATGATTTTCTACCTACACACAACACCTACACGTACACGAATAATTATAAACACATTCTGATGTTTTCTCTAACTCTCGCCCTCCTCCACACTCTCTCTCTCGCTTATCGATCATCAAATGTCGACCCCTACAATTATGTATTTGTAAATATTTCAGATTTGAAGAAAAAGATAAACAATTGAGAAGAAGAAGAAAAAGAAATCGAGTAGTAGGAGACTACCTATACAAATCGGAAGAAGATTCATTTTCTCTTTTTTCTTCTATCTCTGCGTCTCCTGAAAATCAACATTCTCTCTCTCATTTCTCTGCGTCTATCTTGTCTATTTTTGTTGCAATTCAAGTGATGATTGTTATCGTTTTGTTGTACAATGTGTTTGTGTGTCGATTTACGAGCGAAATGGAGAAAAATATTGAAAAATTCAAAAATTCAAAAATTCAAAAATTCAAAAATTCAAAAATTCAAAAATTGAGAAATTCAAAAATTCAAAAATTCAAAAATTCAAAAATTCAAAAATTGAGAAATTCAAAAATTCAAAAATTCAAAAATTCAAAAATTTTAGAATTCTAAAATTCTAAAATTCTAAAATTCTAAAATTCTAAAATTCTAAAATTCTAAAATTCTAAAATTCTAAAATTCTAAAATTCAAAAATTCAAAAATTCAAAAATTCAAAAATTCAAAAATTCAAAAATTCAAAAATTCAAAAATTCAAAAATTCAAAAATTCAAAAATTCAAAATTTCAAAAATTCAAAAATTCTAAAATTCTAAAATTCTAAAATTCAAAAACTCAAAAATTCTAAAATTCTAAAATTCAAAAACTCTAAAATTCTAAAATTCTAAAATTCTAAAATTCAAAAACTCAAAAATTCAAAAATTCAAAAATTCAAAAACTCAAAAATTCAAAAACTCAAAAATTCGGAATCCATAATTTTTCAGTTCCTGATTTTTTAAATTTTAGAACTGTCATTTTTACAAATTTGAAAATCGGAATTTTAAAAAAAAAGAACATTCGAATTTCCCAAAATTTTCAAAGTTTGGATTTTTTTCAATTTTTGAAAAGTTGATTTTTTTCAATTCTTTTGAATTTTGGAATTTTAGTAATTTCAAAATTTTCCGAAAAAAACATAATTTCATACTTTCAACTATTCGAAAAATAACCAAACATATTCGAATTGCAATTTTCAAGATTTCCAAATTTACAGAAAAATTTGAAGATCTTTCAAATGGGAACGTCAGACAAAAAATTACAATTTTCAAAAAAATTAATTGAAACCAGAAAACCAGAAATTTAAAAAACGCCAGACACATCCACACATATTTATTCAATTTGTCTGCCTAAATTTATCTGTCTTTTTCTTTTTGAAATTTTTTTTCAAAAATCGGAAAAAATCGGTGATTGAGCAAGAGAGAAAGAGAGAGCACAAACAAAAAGAGAGATGATTTGTTGACACTGTTTCTCACTTTTCTACAGAAAAAGTGTTGAAAAAATGGTTGGTAGTTGGATTTTGAAGTTTCAAAATAGAGACAATTACTCATTTCTGTGATTTTTGTGATTCATTTTTGAAAGATAAAAGATAAGTGATAAGTAGTCAAAAATAAAGATCAACGGGAGATCAGGAATTTTGAAAATTGGTTCAAAAATTCAAAAATTCTTCAGAAATTGAGAAATTCTGAAATTCAAAAATTCAGAAATTCAGAAATTCAGAAATTCAGAAATTCAGAAATTCAGAAATTCAGAAATTCAGAAATTCAGAAATTCAGAAATTCAGAAATTCAGAAATTCAGAAATTCGGAAATTCAGAAATTCAGAAATTCAGAATTTCAGAATTTCAGAATTTCAGAAATTCGGAAAATCAGAAATTCATAAATTCAAAAATTCAATACTTCAAAAATTCAAAAATTCAGAAATTCAGAAATTCAGAAATTCAGAAATTCAGAAATTCAGAAATTCAGAAATTCAGAAATTCAGAAACTCAGAAATTCAGATTAGAATTTTATAATTTTATAATTTTATAATTTTATAATTTTATAATTTTATAATTTTATAATTTTATAATTTTATAATTTTAGAATTTTAGAATTTTAGAATTTTAGAATTTTAGAATTTTAGAATTTTAGAATTTTAGAATTTTAGAATTTTAGAATTTTAGAATTTTAGAATTTTAGAATTTTAGAATTTTAGAATTTTAGAATTTTAGAATTTTAGAATTTTTGAATTTTTGAATTTTTGAATTTTTGAATTTTTGAATTTTTGAATTTTTGAATTTTTGAATTTTTGAATTTTTGAATTTTTGAATTTTTGAATTTTTGAATTTTTGAATTTTTAAATTTTTGAATTTTTGAATTTTTGAATTTTTGAAATTCTGAAATTCTGAAACGAAAATTTCAAAACGAGAAAAAGTCATCAAAAATCATACGAGTGTACATCAAAATGTACTAAAATTTTTCGATCGGAAAGATTCTAAAAATTTTATAAAACTCATTAAAAATATTGATTTTTGCGGGAAATCGGAAAAGATACGGGAAAAAAATGGAAAAATTGGAATTTGGAAAAAATTGGAAAAAATTGGAATTTTTTAAAAATAAAAATCTAAATTCTCTGAAAAACTGAAAAATTTAAAGGTTTTTTTTTCAATTATCAATTTAAAAACATTTGAAAAAAGAAAAAACTAGACATTCCCATTATTTCAAACATTTTGATAGATCATTCGAATACGAGAGAACAAAAAGAATAGAGAGACGCAGACAGCTAGACAGAGAAAAATGCGCGAGCAATTCTGTACACAAAACCAATACAAACATATAGGAGTAGTAAGGGAGGAGACAGTGTCAAACATAAATACGTGGCATTCTTCCTTTTTCTCTGTACTCTCTCACATTCACACACTCTCTCGCTAATAAGGACACATGTCAATAAAATGAGGTGTGGACCCTTTCTGGGTCGGATTATCTTGATGAGGGAATGAATGTCTTCTGGGAACACCCGGATCCAGGTCCCCCGGAACCAGCTCTCCCGGATCCAGGTCACCCGAATCCAGGTCACCCGCATCCAGGATACCGGAATACCGGATGTCCGGATGTCCGGATCTCTTCCCCGGCTCCCTTCTCTGGAGCCCAGAAAAGCGAGAACTGATTCTTCTCTCCAATTCTCTCTTCCTTTATAGTATTCTTCCAGAGGTCAATGGGACATCTGGGGGGTCGTGTGTTTCTACGTATTTTTTTTGATTATATAATTTCTAACAGTTTTTTTATCTTCAAAAAATATTTTTCATCACGTTGAAAAAAAAGTTGATTTTTTAAAAACCTGTAAAACTAGGGTTTCCATTTGGGCGGGTGGAGAAGCGGGCTACCCGCTACCCACCCGGGGCACGTGGGTTCAGGCGGGGTGGTCAGAAAGCGCGCCCCAGTAATTTTTTCGAAAATTCTCAATTGGCTGCTGAGAGTTCGTTGACTGACAATCATACTTTAATGCATTAGGCCGAGAAGACGAATATTTTTTGCAATATTTTTCCGATGTTTTCTTTCGTTTTCGCTCGTTTTTTCTCGTTTTTTCCACTTTTTTTCAGTGAAAATTAGTTGAAAAAAGTTTCAAGTTAATTATTAAGGTGAGCAGTCCAAGCAACGGCCTCGTGCAATGATGAGTCAAGTGAGCGAATGGAATAAAGCTCGATTTTCGACGTTTTTTAGAGGTGAGTAACTGAAATATGTAATGTTCCAATATTTATTGATTTTCTAGGCTCGAGTCATCGCTCCGTCAGCCTGCCCAGAAGTACAACTGCGAAAGCAGATCTGGAGAAACTGCTACGATCGTTTTTTTGGCAAAAATCGGTGATTTTACAACGAAGCGAAGGAAGGATATCAATTCGATGATGGATTATAAAACATGTGAGTAAGCTGTGAGCTAAAATTTGTAGGAATACTATTTCATATATTTCGGATGTCATGTCCTTAGGTGATATTAAATGCATTGAGGTTCTTCCATAATTATTATTTGTTTATTAGAAGTTATTCAATAATTCGTTCTATTTTCAGAGCAATTAGAAACCGGCATCCGATTGCGAAGCCAACAACGACACGAGCTGTCCCTATGATAAGTCGGACGGATCATCGTTTTATGAGAAGTCGGATGGATCATCGGTTTAATAATAAATGTTGTTTCTCTTGTTACATATCCTGAATCTGAATAAATCTTCATGTATTGCCATGCCCTTCCTCGGGCAATTTAGGGAGAACAGCAACATAAAAGGATCAGTATTCACCGAAAGAAAAAACGAATTCATAGTCTTCTGTATCGTTAAAAAAACATTAGAGAAACCACGTGAAATCCACGTGTCATTTTGAATTAATTAATTTCGGCTGGCCTACGAGTTAGCTGGGGCGCGCTTTCTGACCACCCCGCCTGAACCCACGTGCCGGGGGGCTCCCACCCGCGGCCCCCCACGGCCCCCCGCAATCAAATGCATGTGAATTTTATTTTTAAGGATAATCACGTATTTTCCAAGAAAAAATGAGTTTCTCAAATCAAAAAACTACAAAAAAGATAATATTTTCCTCACGTAAATATTCGCAGGGGGGGGGTGAGCCCCCCGGGTGGGTGCGGGCGGGTGAATCGCCCCCCAAATGGAAACCCTGTGTAAAACTTCCTAAAAAGATCCTCTCTTAACCCCTAATTATCTCGTTTCCCGTTTGAATTATCAAAAAAATTGTCAACTAATGAAATTTTGCTGATTTTTAGGCGAACATTTTTAACCAAAATATTAGGTTGGCTAATAAGTTTCTTTCGATTTTGGTGAAATTTTTGATCAAATTTTCCTAAAAGCAGAGGAAGCTAGATTAATCAAAGTAACATCCAAGAGCATGGACAGGTGTCTGGTAACGCTCCAATTTCTTCTTGATTCCATTGGCCTAGAACGAGGATGGCTGCGATCAGAATACTGGATCAACTTCTTTTTGGTGTCATCTTTTCAATTGAAGTCTTTCCTATCGAGATGGCGTTTGAGAGCTCCAAAAGACCATTTATCCAAAAGGGCAATATCTGAAGAATACGACGGTGCAAAAGAATAGTTCAGTCAAGCGACATGAATTTTCGGCTCACCCGTCTAGTAACGGGGGATCTCGCACTGTCGTCCTGACGGGAAACTGTAGCTTTTTCTCCTTGTTTCGATTTGCCCTCCAGATTTAATTTCTCTAATTAGGAATAATACAACGCGGCAATTATAGTGGTATCTTCATTTAAAAGTCCCCAGTCTCCATTCCTTTGGCAGACCATAAAACACTTAGCATACCCCTTTTCTCATGAAATTTATGTTTCGAGACGTCCAGAGCGAGCTCTTTTTTGTCAATCAGCTGACCCTTTCGCTTATTGATAGAATAACTTATCCAATTATTATCTACGGTAATTAGATCAGCCAGTCAACTGAACGTGCCAAGAAATGATAGGAGAAACATGCTCATGTCTACACGGCGATCCATACCGTAGTCCTTCAAAACATCGGGTACGAATCGACTCAGTTCTTGAAGTTGGCAAGAGACTTCAATCTGGTCACAACACTTGGTTGACTATCGGGTAAAACTTCTGACATTTCACAAGTGGTTTGAACCGGATCGGCTTCAACACGATTCTTGCGTGTAATAAGGATAGGACCCCCCCCCCCCCCCTGTAGGACCAAATCCAACTTTCCGACCGAGCTTCGTCTTCCGATTCTAAATTTTTGGCTTCGAACCGATCGGTCCAATTCTTGATGGTAGAGACAGTAGGAGATCCTTTTCCATCTGTTTCTATCATTTTCTTACAAATATCATTATTTTTTAAAAATTAAAATAAAACGCAGTTTTGAAAGTGTAGACGGTAAGTAACGAAAGAAAGCGGCATGCTCGCGAACGACAAGAAGGAGGAGTTTGCCAAAATATGTAGAGCAAGCCCGTGAGATACTCTATCCAACAAAAAACATCCGGCAAGAACAACAATCCCACCGACCAGTTATGAATCTTCAAAGTTTACATTCAAAATCGAAAGAAACTTATTAGCCAACCTAATACATGCATTGACTCTAAAGACTCGCGTATATCTCACATTTGCAGATCGATTTTTCTCGAGTTTCAGCGAGTATTGCAGGTAGCCACTAAAATTACGAAAAAGCCCATACTTGATTCTATAAATGAGCTAATCAATTCTGATCAATTCTGAAAAGCTTTCTGAACAACATTCCCTTCTTAGTAATGGTGTAATCTAAAAAATGTAGAAATTGACAACATGTTCTCATGATATTCTTGTCAAGAGTATGGAACTTGGGAAAATAGTATGTTTGGAACATCGAAACCGACACACAGCAAACTCTAAACTGTTCAGGGAGATGGGAAGGTATGACATGTGGGAACACAAGGGGATCAATCAGGATTATTTCAGGGATACGCTCCAGTCTCCCTCCAAACATCAGAGCTCTAATTCTTTCTTTTTCGATCTCTCCATCTCGGAAACCAATTCACAAACATCCATGCTTTTCTGATTCTTTTAAAGTTTGAATGAAATCTCAAAAAACTTCTATTCTCTTTTTGATTTCATTTCAGCCCGAAAACTCTAAAAATTCGAAAAATGATTTGTTATTCAAATTTGAGGTGTTGTGAGCTTAAAAATGAGCCCAAGCACGACAAGTTTCTCTCAATTTTGAGTCTTGACCTACCAACCGAAACGCGACCGCGACGCGCCGGTCAAAATGGAAAGTGCCTCGAAGTCAGTCGCGTTTGAGCTTTTTTTCGAAGCTTAAACGACACGAATTGCGAGAAAATAATTTCACCCCTCTAACATCAAGAACCAAAAAGATAGCGCTTATCAATCTGAAACTATCTGAAAATCTGAAACGCTGAAAATCTCAAAATGTTCCATGTTTCCTGTTTATTTCTTTAGGATTGTCATCAAACACGACTAGTCTAGCTCAATTTTGAGTTTTGACGTATCAACCGCGACGCGACCGCAACGCGCCGTTCAAAATTGAAATTGGTCCAAAAGTAGCCATGTTTAGGCTCATTGTGTAGCTCACAACTTCACAAATTGCAAGGAAGTAGTTTCAAGTCCCTGAAAAACACAGAAATTGAATACAATTTGTTTATTGTTTTAATTTCAAAAAATCAGATACAATTCAATACCTGTTTGAAAGAAATGGTGGTATTGATTTTGAGAATTTTGAAGAGTTATTTTTTGGAGAGAAATTCAAAAAAGAATATTTTGATGATATTCAGGATTGGGGGAAAGACACAGTATTAGTACAGTAGGAAGATCCACGTGGCAATGAAGAGTACGATGACATGGAAGTGTTGAGAATTGGATGAGGAGAGCTCACGGAGCATATCATGATCATTACAGAAGTCACCTTGACACGAGCAAAATGTTACCTAAAAAATTAGAAAGTACAGTAATCCTGAAATTTCGGAAATTGAGAAATTTTGAAATTTTCAAAAACTTTCAAAAAATTGTGAAAATCCATGAAATTTAGTAACTGGGAAATTTCAAAAGGTTCGAAAATTTTGTGAAATTTTGATATCTATTAGGAGAGACGCAAAGAAACGAGATTGTCTCGCTTCTCTGCTCCCCCTCTCTTACTCTTACTGTGCGCCAACTTCAGAAGTCTATATCTCACCACGGAAAAAATCTATCAAAAAGTTGTAAATTACAAAAATGTGTAAAATTCAATTTTACACATTTTTGTAGTTTGTAGTTTTTTGATATTTCTATTCCCTGCAGAGATATAGTTTTTTAAAGTCGGGCGCGAGGAAAGAGTGATAGAGGAGACGCAGAGAAGTTAGAGTGTTTCGTTTCTCTGCGTCTCTTCAGATTTAGAGATGTTTGTTTTTTTGCTCCAGTTTGGTGAAAATTGTGGGGATTATCAAAAACTCCGAGTTGCAGAAATTCAGGAAAATTCTAAAACTCTAAAAATTCAAAAAATTCAAAAAATTCCAAAATTCCAAAATTTGAATTTTTTGAAATACCTTGTAGGTCTTAATGCCAGATTTTCCAAAAGTTTTAGTCTACAGTAATTATACATTAATCCTTCGAAACTACAGTAATCCTTCGAAACTACAGCAATCATGAGTTTATGAAAATTCCGAAATTTCAGAAATTCTAACAATTGTAAAACTATAAACACTTCGAACAATTCGGACATCCCAAAATTTCAAAATGTCCGAACAAATATTTTAAAGCTGAACTAAAAAGTTTTAATACCAGATTTTCCTGAATTCTCAGTCACATTTATCCTACAGTAATCTATTAAAAAACTACAGTAATCCCCAAATCTCACCACATCAGTCTGTCCGGATAATGGGAATAGTCTTAACAGCTTTCTATCCGTATGTCTGCATATCCTTTGTTGTTCGTAAGCATTTAGAATGTTTCTGACGTCATCATCCAATCCAAATAGAAGAAGCCGGTCCATACATCCACGTATCACTCCGTGCTGTTCGGAAATGTCTGGAAAAAAAATACTGAACTTTTTTGGATTCCAGAATCTTTCTTTCATTTGGATTAGTGAAAAAACGAGCTGAAACGGACCATTTTGAGCCAAGTCACGCCTTTTTGAAGTTTTGAGAGACGCAGACAATCTAGCTTCTCAAAAAGTAATCAACTAGTAAAATGTGTAAAATTTTATTTTACACATTTTTGCAGTTTACAGCTTTCTGATAGCTCTCTTTCGAGCTGAGATAATGACGTTTGAAGTTGCAGAGAAGCAAGACTATCTCATTTCTCTGCGTCTCTTTTTTAAAGGTGGGGGGTCATGAAAAAATAATGTTCTCGAAATTCTGTTTAAATATGCCCCTCGAGGAGTTGAACTTGTCGAGGCGAGTATTGAAGGTGCGGCGCCGCTACCGACTGAGCCATGCGGGCGAAACTGGAGCGCACGCCCGATTGCATACATAAAGGCGAGGACGACCGCTGTACGCAGAGTGACATTAAGCGTTGTACACCGTCACGGTAGAATGCATACTCTGGCCCCAAAAATCCCCCGTAAAATCTCCTGTCCCCCCACCTTTAAAAGACCCTCAATTTTTCTTGAGAACTTCCCTATTTTCTTCCACTGTCCCCCTAAACAATGCAATTTTAATGAGAATCGTGATCATCATTTTCCAGTGGAGAAAATTAAAAATTCCATTTTTTCGTGTTTAGCCCTTTTTCCGGACCCCCTTCTCATCAATTGAAAATTGAAAGACAAAGTGATTGATGTGATTACACATTTTAGGGGTTTTAGAAAATTCGGAACTTTCTAGAACATTCCAGAAAATTCCAGAAAATTCCAGAAAATTCCAGAAAATTCCAGAAAATTCTAGAATTCTTTTATTTAATCTGCCTTTAATTTTTAAAAACAAAGATTTCAATACGTCTAGGCTACAGTAATCCTACAGTAACCCCCCTCATCCCATCCGTCTGAAAAGAATTTCGGAAAGTTCTGGAACATCCCACAGCCTTCTATATCCTTTCAGAGTTTTCTTGAAAAATCCAGAAGCTTTCAAAACATTCAAAAACATTTTGAAAACTTCCAGATCCTTCTAGGACATTCCAAAGCATTCCAGAACCTACTAAAAAATTCCAAATCCTTTCAGAATCTCCTACGACATTCCATCCTAGAACTTTCTAGACTCTTCTAGAACACTTCAGAACCCTCTAGAATCCCCCAGATCCTGCAAAAAAGTTGAATAAGTTGTTGTTTTTCCTCTGGACCCGCCGCACCACCACCGCCAATTCCGAATTCCGGGAGAAACTAATATAGAAAAATGGGATGTCTAACTAATTATTCGTCTCGCTTCCAATGGTCATTTTCTCTCTCCCTCTCTATTTACCCGAATATCATATTAGGTTTTGGGAAAGGATAAGCAAATTATATATGGGGAGACTGGTGGTACGGAAAAATAATAATGTTTGGTGTTTGGGAAAAGTCAGCAGAGACGCAGAGAAGCTAGACACGCTTGCTTCTCCGGGTCTCTCTATCTTAACTTAAAAGGCCCTTATCAACAGAACCACCAAATCTATCAAAAAGTTTTAAATTTAAAAAAAGTGTAAAATTTTATGCTGAGCACTTTTATAGTTCACACCTTTTTGGTAGCTACCGTAGTTTTTGAGATATGCGCTTTTGAAGTTTGCATACCTAACGTGCACCCTCCATCCGCGGAAAACGGTGGGGGCCACTAACTTTTAAAGGTGCAAATCTCAAAAACTAAAACTGTTATAAAAAAAAGTCGACTACAAAAGTGTGTAAAGTTTAATTATCTACAACTTGTGGTTGACAACTTTTTTAAAGCTTCGCTTGTTTTTGAGATAATTATCTGGGAATCAAAATTTGGAAAATTTTGAATTTTTTGACTTTCTTTTAAAAGAAGCTATGTACTTGAGAAATTTCTTCGACATTAAAGGTTTTGAAAACTGAATTTGTTTAATTTATCAGCTAGAGACGCAGACAACTAGACAAACTTGCTTCTCTGCATCTCTCACCTTCCTTTCGGTGCATACTCTATCACTTTAAAGGAATATATCTCAGGAAATATTGTAGCTATTTAAAAGTTAAAAACTAAAAAATTGTAGCGACTTTCATGATCTATATTTTTGTAATTGACAATTTTTTGATAGCTACCGTAGTTTGTGAGATATGCGTTTTTAAAGTTAGCGTACCTGGCGCGCATCCTCCTCCATCGCTAAGCGACCGCCGATGGGGATCGTTTAACTTTAAAGGCGCATATCTCAAAAACTCAAAATGCTAGGAAAAAGTTGTGTATTACAAAAAAATGTTTTTGTCTACATTTTTGTAGTTTACAACTTTTTGATAGCTCAATTGGTTCTTGAGCTATAAAATTCCTATGTTCTCAACCCCACTTCTTTGAAAGCCTCGCTATTATCTAAAAATCTTTAGGGCTCTTCTTTTTTTTCCTCTCATCATCTTTTTTCTTTTAATTGATTTACGATGTGTGCGTTTTTTTCAAAGATAAGAGAGACGGAAAATGAATTAGTGGGTGTTTGAAGAGCCAATTGGCTTGGCCAATTAGCGGAGATTTTGAAAAAGTGATAAGATGAAAAAAGAATTAGAAAATAGATAAATGAAGGATTCTGAGAATCTGAAATATCAGAGTTATCAGAAAATTCTAAAAAATGCCAAAATTTAAAATTCGAAAAATTCCGCCCCTAATTTTTCAAACAAAAAACACTTTTTCTCCAAAATCCAAAAATAAAAGACACAACGGAAGTTCGAGTTGGGGTAAAATAATGGACTTCTGAACCTCTTTGAGAAAAAAAGTAAAAAGACAATAAAACGACCGGAAATGGTGTATTTTTGAGTGGTCTAGAGCTCTGCTCTGACTATTTGGTTCGGTGGAGCGCGGTTGCCAAAAAATATTGTATTTTTTGAAAGTATTTGAACCTAAAAAGGGCAAAAAGGCAAAATTTAGTAATAGAAGGCAAAACCTGTAATAGAAGGGTCCTCTAACTTTCAACTTTGAGCCCATATATCTCGGTTTCTGTGAGAGATATCAGAAAGCCGTCAACTGACAAAATATTTATCATAATCTCAAGAACATTCTGTTAGTTGACACATTACATAAGAGCCAAGATAATTGAGCTCAAACTTAACAGTGTGGGGGCCCTTCTATTACAGGTTTTACGTTATGTGAGAAATCCAAAGAATTCCGAAAAATTAGGAAACTCGGAAATTAAAAAAAGAACATCTAAAATTGTTTCAGGATCTCAAAACTTCCGAAAAATTTCATAAATTTCAAAAAGTTCTAAAATCCTAGAAACTTTGAAGTTCAGAAATTCCTCTAAAATGGAAAATTTCAGAAATTCCAAAATATCATAATGTTAGAAATTCGAAAATTCAGAAATTCAAAAATTCAAAAAAAACTCCAAAATTATATACAGAACGCCATCTAAATTTGAAAAATTCAAGAATTTCAGAAATTCTGAATAAGTCAAAAATTTGAAAAATTCAAAAAAGTTTCAATTCAAAATTCCGAAATTCCATAATTTTCGAATATTCAGAATTTTGGAGGTTTCAAAGTTTTTCCAAAAATTCGGAAGTTCGCTGAGATTCCAAAAACTATAGAAAAAAAATCAGGAATTCCAAAGTTCAGGATTCGTCCAAAATCTAAAATTTCAGTAATTCGAAAGTTCTGAAATCCTGAGAAATTTAAAAAACCTCTAAATCCTAAAATTCAGTTCTTCAAGTTTGGAAATCCTGGCACTCTGTCTATCTGTTTGTCCGGATGTCTTCACCCCTCCAAGTCAAATTTCTGATGATTCAAGTCCCTCAAAATTTGTTCCTTTCTTTTTTCTTCCAAAAATACATGCACACACTTTTTCATTTTCATTTCAGAAAGAGAGAGAGAGAGTCTAACGAATTCATTGAAATTTGTCTCTCTTCAATTTCAATGTATTCTAATCAAACAGAAAGAGAGCAAAGGGGTCCATGTCAAAAGTACACACCTACACCTCAATGACGAAGTCAACATGTCTGGCGTCTCTCTCGTTTTTACACACTATTTCTCACCCAAATTGTTGGGGGCTCTAAGAGACACACGAGCACATTTTGCCGCGCATTTTTCATTAGAAAAGAGTCAAGAATGGAGAAAAAGTGTATATACACTCGAAATGGAATGTTTCAAAATCTACAAGAGCGTTAAAAAAGAAGAGAGGCAGAGAAGACAGACAGTCTAGCTTCACTGCGTCTCCTTGCCAACTTCAAAACGCTCTAACTCGGCGAGGTATAAGGATATCAAAGAGCTACAAACTACCAAAACGTGTAAAATACAATTTCACACATTTTTGTAGTGGGCAACTTTTTGATAACTTTGTTCCCTGTTGAGATATTGCCCTTTGAAGAAGGCGGCCCGAAACAGCCGAGAGGGCGCAGAGAAGCTAGACTGTCTGCTTGTCTGCGTCTCTCAAATTTTCTAAAGAGCGTTACTTAGCTCAGATTAGTTTGTTTTTCTTAGTTCAAAGTGATTTTTTAAAGAAGAAGACACTAGAAACACCAAAAAAGGTCACAGAAAAAATTAAGTGAGCTTATATCTCAAGAGCCAGAGCTATCGAAAAGTTTAAAAATAAAAAAATGTAGAAACTGAATTTTACACATTTTTTTTAGTTGACAAATTTTTGATAGCTTTTTCCCAACTAAAATATTGCCTTTAGAAGATAACGCCGCAAAACAGCACGATAAGGAGGGAGGGCGGAGAGAAGCTAGAGTGTCTGCACTCTCCTACACTCTCGCCGTGCAAACTTTAAACGATTATAACTCCTCTCAAAATGGTCTAATTAAGTTGATTTGAAGTGCGTTTTAGGGAAGAAAACAATGGTAACAAAATGTTATAAAAATTGAGAAAGTTACAATTTTTGTTTTGGGTTATTAGTTTAAAAAAAGGGTTCACTCACAATCCTCACCGTCAATCCTTTCGACCAATGTGAAGCATACGGATGAACAAGGGACAATTCCGATGCCTTGGTCCGGTTGCCAACACCGATCCGTGAAATTTTTCGGGGGATAATAGTGATGCATTAATTGGGACCACAGGGGGAGATAGACGAAGGAGGCGCAACTGGAAAATGATGGATAGTTAAGGATGAGCAATGATGCTTAAAGAGAAAGAATTCAAAATTTGAGTTTCTAAGATTTCCTTGAATATTCCAGAAAACTCAAATTATTTAAAAATTCAAACATTCAGAATTTCTAAAAACTTTGAAAAATCCAAATTTTTTGAAATTCAGGAATTTCAAAAACCTAGAATTTTGATATTTCGTAATTTGAGAAAAATAGAAATGAATGAAGTCGAAATTTTTAAAATTTTTGAAGATTTCCAATTTTCCAAAAAACTTCAAAAACTCCTGAAATCTTCAAAACTCAAAAATTTGAATTTCCCCAAATTCAAAATTTCTGAAATTCTGAAATTCTGAAAATGAGCGGTCCCATTAAAAGTAATGAATTCTTACCTAAAACAATGTGATTTCTCCAATCCTTGATGGTTTTTTTCATCAAAACTCAGATGATGACTCAATTTATGATTATGATTGTTATTGTCATGATGATTATTCGAAGAATAAGTCAGTGCCGATTGAAGAATTGCAAACTTCAAAATTATCGAAAACCAATTTTTAGTTGAAAATCTCTCTTTTTTCCTCATCTCACATCATTCGAGGGGCAAGGACCTGCAAATGTTAATTTTTGAGTTTTTGGAATTAAAAAAAGAGAAGTTTTATTGAAAAAGTGTGTAATGTAAAAGGTTAAGCTCAAATTCAGAAATTCAGAAATTCAGAAATTCAGAAATTCAGAAATTCAGAAATTCAGAAATTCAGAAATTCAGAAATTCAGAAATTCAGAAATTCAGAAATTCAGAAATTCAGAAATTCAGAAATTCAGAAATTCAGAAATTCAGAAATTCAGAAATTCAGAAATTCAGAAATTCAGAAATTCAGAAATTCAGAAATTCAGAAATTCAGAAATTCAGAAATTCAGAAATTCAGAAATTCAGAAATTCAGAAATTCAGAAATTGTTTTTAAAAGGGATTTTGGCTCAAAATTTCAAATTCTAAAGTTCTTAAATCTCAAAATATCAATCAGAAATATTCGAGTCATATGACATTTGTGACGAAAAGATAAAAAGTACAAATTCTCATATCACATACAAAATCAGTGAGCCTATTGATAAGAATTCTTTTGCTCACCGACTTCTGATTTTCTTATTTTTCTAATTTTCATGCATATGCATACATATTTTTAGGGGCTAAAAAGGGACCGAAGAAGGCGAAAATGAATTGGAAAGTAATTGGTTTTTGCTGTGTTTCCCAAGGAAAAGAGAGAATAAGAAAAAGTGGGCGGAGCCTAATTTTCTGGAGGGGAGAAGGGGAAATCTGATAACAGAGAAGGGGAAAGAAAATGAGATTTTAGGAAGGAGATTAGAATTTTCTGGAATTTTCCGGAGAAAATAATGAAATTGAACTTGAGAGATTGCTAGGTACAAATTTAGGAATCTTCGGAATCTTCGGAAAAATCGAAAAATTGAAAAAAAAAATTATTTGACTACTAAAATTATGGAACAGGTGAAAAAAAACTGAAAATTTGGGTGGCTTTCTACCAGTATCTTTTTCCTAAAATGACGTTTTTTTGCATTCACTGTAAGAGACGCAGAGAAACCAGACACGCTAACTTGTCTGCGTCTCCTCTCCCCCTCTTTCTCTCAACGTCGACAGGACTATGCCAACTTCAAACGGTTATATCTCGGCTGGCAAAAAAGCTATCAAAAAGTTAAAAACTACAAAAATGTGTAAAATTAAATTTTACATATTTTTGTTGTTAAAAACTTTTTTGTAGCTTCTTTGATTTTCGAGATATGAGTGTTTGAAGTTGTAGAGGGCACAGAGAGGTGAGAGAGAGAGAGTTTTTATTGATGAGAGAGTGCAGAGAAAGAGGGTTTTTCACTAAAAAATTGTTGAAATACAGATCTGAAACAACATAAAAAAATTTATTTTTTCAAGTTTTCCAAAAAAAACTTTTTCGATATCTTTCGAAAACTTTGAAATTGTAAATTTAAAAATTGTAGAATTGTGGAATTTTAGAATTTTAGAATTTTTCGAAAATTTCAATTTCTTCAAAAAATTCCAATTGATCGAAAAACCCAAAATTCATAACAACCAAAAAAACCCATGAAAAAATGACGAATGACCAAAAATATGCTTTTTTAGGATTCGGATAAGAAAAAGAAGGAAAAAAAAAGAAGAAAAAGAGAAATAGGAGAAGAAGAAGGTGCTAGAGAGTCCTCTTGACTCCTGTGCTCTGGTCAAAAGTGGGCGGAGCTTTTTTTTAAGATCCCTCCCCTTTTTTCTTTTTCTTCTCCTTTTTTGGGCTTTTGGGACAAATTCAGAAATTCCAGGAAATTCAAAAAATCAGAAGTTCAGAAATTCAGAAATTCGGAAATTCAGAAATTCAGAAATTCAGAAATTCAAAAATTCAGAAATTCAGAAATTCAGAAATTTCTGAAAAAATTCAGAAATTCAAGAAAAAATTCAGAAATTCAAGAAAAAATAGAAAATTGGGGACTTTAAAAATTAGGGAATAAGAAGAAAAAGAAGAGGAAGAATATAATTCAATTTCAAATTCTTCTTTTTGGGTGGTAAGGAAAATAAGGAAAATGAATGAAACAGAAGAAGAAGGCATATTTTTGTGGGGACCAATAGAATAAGAAGAAGAAGAGAAAGAAGAAAGAAATACTAATTATTAGTTGTTGGTGGTGGTGTGTCGTTTCGAGTTATTACTCTCTTACTCTCCTTTTCCTTATTATTATTCATTATTATTAGTTGTGAATTTGTAAAAAGGAAAAGAAGAAGACGAGGAATTTTGAAGAATTTAGGAATTTTAAACAAGATCTAGGGAGCAAAAAAATAGGTCTTGTTTTTTTCTCGATTCCTAGAAACTGAACTTTTTTCATTACAAAAAATGGCTTTCTAGACCCCTAGAGATCTCAGCCCATAGAAATAACTAAATTGAATATATACATTTTTCGGGTGATTTTTCTAATTTTTTTAAATTTTCAAAATCTTCAATTCGTATAACATCTTGTTTCCTTTGTTTTCTTCTCCAAAACGGACTTTAAACCAACTCAAATGATCGATTTTGAGCCGAGTTACGCGCTTTTGGAGTTTGGAGATACGCAGAGAAACAGACACTCTAGCTTCTTTGCGCCCTCCCTCCTTGTCGTGTTGTTTCGCGGCGCCCGTCGGCCCGGCCCGGCCCTGGCCCGGCCCGTCCGGCCCGTCTGCAAACTGTAAAAAATTTCCACTCCGAATTTTCCACATGTATGTTTGGGACTGTAACTCAGCTCAAACTCAACCGATTTGAATGAAAGTTTTTTATTCACATTATCAATTACCCACTTGAGGTTTTAACTGTAAATTCAAATTCGCTAAAAATTATTGTCCACGAGGACTACACGGATGAAATACACTGAAAATAAGTTAAAATAGCTTAGAACACGCTTGAAAACAGCAAAAATCGCTAAAAATAGGTCAAAATCTCCACAAATAGCTCGGTAATTTTGAAGCCGGTGAAAACTGTTGTCCACGAGGACTACACGAAATTTGTTTCGCTATTAAGCGAAAATAGCCTCAAATATGCTTTAAAAACAGCGAGAAAAAGCCTAAAAATAGGCCGAAATAGGCCTAAAAATGGTAGAAATAGCTAAAAATAGGACCAATGGTGCCTATGTTCGCTCAAAAAATTTTTCATCAAAAAAATTTTTCTCTGAAAAAGCTATGGACGGGCCGACGGGCCGGCCCGTCAATCCGCAACCCTGGATAGAGGCATCAAAAAGCTGCAAACACCAAAAATGTGTAGAATTGAATTTTACACAGTTTTGCAGTTGACAAATTTTTAATATCTCTTTTGGTTTTTTAGATAAGGACATTTTTCAGTTTATAGATTTCTTTTTCACAAATTTTTGTGTGTTTCAACACTACAACACAATAGATGTTTGAATATCAAAGCAAGGATTTTCAAAGGAAAAAAAGCAAGGAGCCAGAAGAAAAAAAAGGCCATGAATATCAAATGAATAGGATAGGAAACATGAATGGAAACAAAAAAAAATTTTGCCCTTTTTTTTTAAGTCAGAAATATTGAAACAAAAAATCTCAAGAGAAAGAGAGCGCAGAGAAATCGAGGGCTATGAAAAAACAATAGGAAACATTTGATGACAGCAAATTGTCCCTAGCTCAAAAACCAAAAGAGCTATCAAACTTTTGTCAACTACAAAAATGTGTAAAATTAAATTTTACACATTTTTGAAATTTGTAGCTTTTTGATATCTCTATTGGCCGTTGAGATATGGCCCTTTGAAAATGGCGCCGCGAAACAGCATGGTACGGAGAGAGGGCGCAGAGAAGCTAGAGTGTCTGATTCTCTGCGTCTCTCAACTGTTTAATATGGTATAACTGGGCTTAAAATAGTCTGCTCGAATTGCTTTGAAGTGCGTTTTGGAAAAGAAAATACGGGTAACAATATGGCAGAAAAGTTAAGAACAAAATCAAGTCTGGAAACTGGAAATTGCTCATATCTCAAAAACCTAAAAAGCTATCAAAAAGTTGTCAACTACAAAAATTTGTAAAATAAAATTTTACACATTTTTGTAGTTTGTAGCTTTTTGATATCTTTATTTCCCGCTGAGATATGGCTTTTTGGAGATGGCACCGCAAAACAGCACTGCAAGGAGAGAGGGCGCAGAGAAGCTAGAGTGTCTGTTTCTCTGCGTCTCTCAAAACTTTAAATGTGCGTAACTTGGCTTAAATAGCTCCATTTGAATTGGTTAAAAATGTTTTTGAGATGAAAACAAGAGAAAGAGGATGACATAAAATTATGAAAATTTAAACTTTTTTAAAATCGGAAAAACTGGCGGGAAAATAAGTATCTATTCATGTTATCTATTGCTATGTACTAAGGGCTCTAGGGGTCTAGAAAACGATTTTTGCACTAGAATGAGCAATTTTTAATTTCAAAAATTGAGAAAAAAAATTCAGACCTATATAATGTTCTTGTTTTAGAATTGTCTAGAAAAATGACCACAACAAATTTTTTGCTGAAAAGAAAAGAAGACGTCCGTGACGATAATATACTCATGCTCTCTTGAAAAGAAGAAGAAACGAGCGAGAGCAGGGAAAAAACACGGAATTTTTGATGAGAGTTGAAAAATATATAAATATAGGGACCCGTTTTTTTACTCCTATTTTTTCTATGGACCCCCATTTTTTTTGTTCTTTCGTCTTTTTGGCTTTTTCAGAATCTCCAAGATTCTGGAGGTTTTTGGACAAAATGAGGGGGCTTTTTACATTTTTTTTGGAGAAGAAGAAGAAGAAGAAAATGAGAAAAAAGAAGAAGAAGAAGGGGGAATTTTTGGGTGTTGCCAAGGGAAACAGTGGGAAAAAAAGAAAAAAAAGCAATATTTTGGTGTGAAATTTGTGATAAGGTTTGAAGCTTTGATAAATAAAAATTGAGAAAACATGGAAACGATTATTTTAGAATTTCGACTAAAATCGGCAACCTTGAAATGTTTAAAAAAGTAGTTTTAATTTTTTCGATTTGTCTGAAATCTGCAGAAAAGACTAAATACAAATAGAGCTTCATTTTTGTAGTTGACAACTTTTTCGTGGCTACAGTAGTTTTTGAGATTTGTGCCTTTGAAGTTGACGCGCGTTTCAGAGTAATGCATTCTCTCTACCTGGTCGCCTCAACTTCAAAGGTGCATAGCTCAAAAACTACAGTATCCACAAAAAAGTTGCTGATTACAAGAATATAATAAAGCTTCATTTTTGTAGTTGGCAACTTTTTTGTGGTTACTGTAGTTTTGGAGATACGAGCCTGTAAAATTGGTACCCGTATTGGGTAGCAGTCAGTCCCCCTCATTAAGAGCCTCTGCATTAAAGGCACATATTTCAAAAACTACAGTAGCCAGAAAAAAGTTGTCAACTACAAAAAAGAAGCTCTGTTTTTGTTTGGTATAATCCGAAAATATCAGTCAAATCGAAAAGTTCTGTATCCCTTTAGTAAAACTTCAAAATTTACTAATTCCTCTTCAAAAGGTCAAAAAATGAGACATATTTTTTGGATTACTGTAACTTCCTTCAAGCTCTATAGTTTCAAATGGATCTAATTGGCAAATGTGAAATATAAAAAGGTCTAAAAGACTGTATGAAATTCATTAGGATTTATAAGAAAAGTTTTTGAGCAGAGGAAGCCGAACAAAAGGGTCATAAAGCCCGCAGACACCCAATCTTTGAAAACGCATTTCTTCAAAACTACCGTACCCAGAAAAAAGTTGTTAACTACGAAGAAGAAACTCTAGTTTTTTTTTTACATTTTATAAATACTTCAATTTAAAAGAGCTTTTTTGAACTGATTTTTTTGAACTTTCCGTTTTAAATTTTGTGTTAATCAAAATCTTTTAGTTTGAAGCTAGTTGCAAGCCAACACCTGAAATTGGCACCTACCGTAACCCTTGTCCTAATTTTAACCCTAATTATCTCAGCTCATGGGATAGATATCAAAAAGTTGTTAACTGCTAAAATGTTTATCACAAAATCAGCAACATTTCATCAGTTGACAACAATATCTTGAACAGGAAACAAGATAATTAGGTTCAAAGGAACGATTTAATAAGGGAGTTGCACAGATTTCAAAAGTAAAAATTCCAGTTTATTTAAAGGAGGACAGACAACAAAAATTTCGGGGAAAATTTCAGGGAATGTGTATTTTGCCGTCGCGGTGTTCGCACCTAAAGCACGCAATCCCACGCGCAAACATTTTTATTTTTTTATTTCCCGACTTTATTTTTTTCAATTTTTAACGACTTCAAACATTAAAAAAGCTCTTTTTTCTTATTTATTATAAAACCCATATAAAAGTAAATTTTTTATGTAAATTTAAAGTTCTATCGACCGATTATTTAGCCAGTCGCCGGTGTTTTTTATAGGCATGCGAAAAAAAACTATTTTCTCTTCGATAACCGTTTCTTCACTGTTCCTATTTATCTCATTACTTCTCGTTATTACACTAGGAATAAAAACTGTTTTATGACTGGGGTTTTCAGAGACGTCTCCATTTTTACTGCTTCCTTCACCTTCCGACGACCAGCCCTGCACGAGGATTGTTTTAATTATGTGGTTTTTTTTTCAATTGTTATGTCTCTTTCTGAAAATTAATTGTAGTTTTTTTTCATAATTTATTTGTTAACATAATAAAACAAGTTTCTTCATTTTCAACTGATTTTGATACCTCGGAGCGAGGCCTCGGCGGCACGCTGGTAGCCCTTCAGAAATTCCGAGTTCAAAAAGTTTAATCCGAAGGAAACAAGGGAAGAAAAAAGTAAAAACACCAGCAGGGATTGAACCTCTGACCTCCTGAATATTAGCCTAGAGCGTACCCACTACACTACGCGTGTAAGAGGCGACCATCGCATTTTTCACATTATGAAGCGACGCCGCAGCAGCAAGCTAGTGAAGAAATTAGGGTGACAAAAAAGAGCATTTTTTCGTCCTTGAAGTGTTTTTTTCAGGTTTTTAAGTACATAGCTATATTTATACTTCAGAGTTATATCTTTTGAGTAAAAATGAAAATTTTTAAATTTTTGATGTCTACCCTCCTTTAAACGTGATTTTTCGAAAAAATGTTGAAAGAAATTTAAAATTCTAGGTAAAACGACTACGTGAATTGATTTAGAAACCATTGACCTCTGGGAGAGTAATATAAAAGAAGAAGGCAATGAAAGAAAGAATCAGTTCTCGCCTTCTCTGGTGACACGGGAATCCGGGACAGGGGCCCTGGGTCCTGGCTCTTGG